GGGTTGGTGGTGTTGTGGGGGGGGGGGGGGGGGGGTGCATTCATTTGATCAAAATACAGTAAAAATATTGAGACATATTACAGTTATTACAGAAACATTTCTCATTATTATCAGTGTTGAAAATAGTTCTGCTTAATATTGTGAATTGTTTCAGGATTCTTTGATAAATAAAGTTCAAAAGAACAGAATTGATTTGAAATACCCTCACAAAGATACAAAAAGATACAACATCTTTGTAACATTATAAATGTATTTACTGTAATTTTGATCATTTTAATGCATCCTTGCTTAATAATCATATTAATTTATTTTAACATATGTTATTCAGCTTCAGCTGAAACTATTTGCTGTCAAAGCAAAACTAGTCCATATAACTTGTAACGTGTCTACAATAAGTTACTCAAAACAGACCTATTTAATGTTACTTATAACTGAAAACATTTGTGTGTGTGTGTGTGATGCTATTATGTCCACATCAATAGGTGTCATATTCTGTATTGTTAAAAGCGTTATATAAATAAAGGTGACTTGACTTGACTCATATAAGATGGTTGCGATATTGTCTAGTGCATCAAACAAAAATGAGTGCATGAGTGCACCTTTAAAACAATATTTAATATGTTAAAGCCGTTCTCCTCATAAATACTTGAAACCACCCAAAGAATGTTTTACTGTCCTTTACTGTCCTTGTGGGGACATTTTGTAGGCAAAACCTAACTCATTCACACACTCCCTCCCTCCCTCCCTTTATATTCCATGTCATTGTTTTTTTGAAGTGTTTGATGAATCTTTTGAACTCTGGATTGTTACAGTCTGACTGCACTGACATGTGTAATTTCTCAAAATGTGAGAAATGAGTATACAACCCCCTCCACATACACACACACAATTCCTGGTAAAAGACTGTGAGCCTTAAATTGCTGTTTTGTAATTATCTCGGCGGGGTTGACAGAAGAACAGCGCAGAAAGGGAGTGAATACATGTGTGTTTTTCCATATAGAAAACAGCGGCAGTGAGTTTTCTGCGAGTGTGAAGCTTCAGTATCACTGAACTTAATGGGACGAGAGAAAACCTCCTTACAAAATCAATGCTTTTTAATGCCAGCACTTAGCACTAACAAAGCTCGGTGGCTGAACATGAAGGCGCTTTCGAAACGAGCGAGTTCTCACCTGAAAGAAGACAGCCATGGCCGCAATTACTCGCTTCTCCCGTATGGCTGTGTTAAGACTGTCAAAGTCGTCTGAGTTATACATGAAGATCTGCATCTGTGTGTGAAAGAGAGAGAGAGAGAAATGTGAGAATCCTGTTAGTCGGAGACCTTTAGCCAATCAGATTGTAATTCTTACATTATCACAGACGAAACACACATAGTCCATTATCAAAGCTGAGATCTCATAATCTCATGGTCCGTGATCCATCTCATCCTGTAATCTCCTGAGAGCGTTCGGCCTCCTCGTGTTTCCATTCCAAACGTTAGGCCCTGTCCATCCTCTTATCACTTTGATGGGATCTTTGGCAGTAGATCAGGCTAATAAATGTGCTCAACTCTCCACGGACCGCAACGCCTGTCTAAATTGGCACAGGCCGTCTGTTATTCTCCACTGTCAATACCTTATCCAACAAAAAAGCTCCAAGAAGACAACAAAGATGAACGATATTCTCGTTGGTATATAGTGATCAGTACTGTGTCAATAAAAGGTGTAGATTTAGCAATGGAGAAACGGCACAGAGTCCTGCTGGGCTCCTGAGAGAGTTAGAAAAGGAGGAAATAATAAAACAACAGCTAAATACAAAGACTTAGAGGGACTGGAAATTCTTACATTTTAAAAGAACTTCTTCAGCCAGAGTCGCTCCATCATTCTGTTGTCATAGTGAATTAAAAATGCAATTCACACATAAAACGCCTAGATTACAACTCTTCTATGATGCTAATGATTTTAATTCCTGATTTCAAATGTATTTCGATATAGTAAAGTCAAAAAGGTGATACAACCGTCCTGATATAACAATGAAGAAAAGATTATGCAAAAATAGGTATTTTTGTTATTTAGTTAATATTTTCATGAATGGCTTCCCTGCTTATTAATAGCTGAAAAAGGCTTGTCTGCCAAATCGTAATCATTTATCTAAAGTATTCGACAGAAGCTGCGATTGTCATGCGTATCTTTCAGTGAAGCACGGTTCTGTGATCAGCAGTAAATCTCTATCCGAAGGCCAGAGAAACTCCAAATACGCCTCGCAGAAGAAACCCAGAAAATGCTGCAGCTGAATAAAGAGAAGATTCAACTGCTTTCATTGATTCAACGTGACTAATAAACACACAAGTTCTTATTATTATAATTTTCATTAAAATAAAGTATATTTATAATGCAGTGCCTTTATCACTGCTTAAATACTATGAAATACGTTACGTGCCTTATTCTGTGTAAGAAGCCACATCATCTCACAGAAGGATTTATTTCAAACACTCGACTGACGTTATGAAGTGAGTTTGGAGTAAAAATATGTTATTAAATGTGGTATTTTCACATGCTTTCAGATGGAGCAGCATTTACTACACAGAGCCGTAGTTCACTGAGAAGCTACGCAAACAGCTGTCATTATCGCGAACAATTTCTTTGATTTCATAATCGCGCAATGAAATCGTCTGCGTAACTTGTCAGGGAACTACGGCTCTGTGTAGTAAATGCTGCTCCATCTGAAAGCACGTGATGATGATTTCCTGCTGATTACAGAACCGGCTTTACTTACAAAATGCGCATGACAATCGCATTCGATTAATCGTGCAGCCCTACTTACTGACTGACGTTTTAATGCATTTCCTGCAAATATGGGAAAAAAATAAAGGAATTAAATGAATTAAATATGTACAGTGTCACATGATTAGTTGAAACTGTCCCACGACCAGAGTAGTTTAATTCCGGTTTGCACCATGAGAAGATGATGGTTGCATCAAAGCTAAAGGCTAGTAAAGTATGTTATCATAAAGATATGACAAAGATTTTTGGTTCACATTATCTTTAAGGTGCCTAGTATTAATATATGCATTCACATATATTTAGCTTTGTTGAGTGTGATCATAGAAGGAGTAAATACGTTGATGGTCACAATAGTGGGATAACAGTGAATTTAAGTATACAATATAAATCCAATTGCAGTTGTTAGTGAAAGCTGCACTAAAATGTAGCAATGACAAAATATTGCACTAAATTAAAAGTTCAAATGTTACAAATAAGTTACAATATTGATGTTGTACTACTGGTAGCACTAATATAAAAATGTTTATTACATATTTTACAATAAAGTAACAATTTTGAAATACGTTGATGGTTGTATTTTTTTGTCTTTTATCTCAGTATTCTTAACAGTGTCTTATAAGGTTTTTAATGCATGATAGTAACCCTAGAATGTTATCAAACAGTTTAAAATAGCTGGGCTAAGATATATAAAACATTTTATGACTGCAGAAATATGTTAATTCAGTATACACATTATGCCACTGGTCACAATTTTTAACACACTTTTGCAAAAAAAAAAAAAATGCATTTTTTTTTTTTTTGTATGTTTTGATGAAAGATTACAAAGACAAACATTTTTGTCTTTGGAATAACATGCACAAGAATTATCCACAATAAAACCAGAAATGCGTAAGAATCAATTTTGATTGAATGTTGACTTACTAATAAAGAAAACCATTTTCTAGATAATAAAATTTCGCCAAACATACTGCCTAAACCTCAAACCCAAAATAAGAACGCATCAGAAAACGCTGAGGTACTACATGCTAAAAGAAGATTTTGCTGAAATTATTCAACATTTCAGGAGAAAACTACAACAGTGAATTTCACATCTCCACATACGATCAATAGCACTACATATATAGCTCACAGTCCAATGCTCTTAAAATCAAGAAAGAACTGCTTGTTGCCTACCACATCGGCTTGTTTCTCCTCACTTCTCTGTTAGCATTGTCAATATTATGCCTGCTGCATTTTCTCACCTCTGTAATCCTTACACGAGGCCCACTTTGATCTAATTCTGTCTCAAACACCTCCATAGTTTCAGATCACAGATCGCACGCCGCACGCCAGAGAATTCGCAAGCCTACGGGCCCTTTGCTTAATGCCTCCATCTGCGGCGTTGTGTCTTACAGGCAGTGATTAATGACATAAATATCTGGGCAACTTCTGAGAACACGCTCTCAAATGAAAGTAAACAGCAGAGAGAGAGGAAGAGTAACATAGCAGGGTCGTGAGTATCTTAACCTCTCACTATTGGAAGCTGTCTGCAGTCTGTTTGAAATCAAGCAGGAGGAGAGGTGACAGACTGTGATACGTCCTCCATACAAGACAGAGAACGACTAACATTACGCTAAGAAACTACATTTTTTACTAGGGAATTTGAGTAGTTTTGACTGAATTTTGAAGTGTATTTGACCGTTCATACCCGTAGGTGTCTAAAAGCAGCTTTGTAGAAGACATGCCATATATAATCCTGGAAACGGTTAGTGATTGGTTTTACTGAGAAACACACACACACACACACACACACACTACAATTCAAAGGTATATATACTGTATTTTCATTTATTAATACTTTTATTTATCAAAAATGCATTAAATTGATCAAAAGTGACAGTAAAGACATTTAAAATATTACAAAATAACAACAACAACAAATGTTTCTTGAGCACCAAAGCAGCATATTAGAATGATATATAAATTGTAATAATATTTCACAATATTTCTGATTTACTATATTATTGATAAAATAAATGAAGTCTTTGTATAAGGGACTTATTTCAAAGACATTTAAAAATCATACAGTAACATTTAATTTCAATTTTTAATTTTAACACACACACACACACACACACACACACAGGTTTGTTTTTGTGAAAAGTGGGGACTCTCCATAGGCGTAATGGTTTTTATACTGTACACACCGTATTTTCTATTGCCCTACAGCAACCCTACCCCTAAACCTACCCCTCACAGGAGACTTTGTGCTATTTCAGATTTTCAATACACTCCATTCTGTGTGATTTATAAGCGTTTTGAAAAGTGGGGACATGGGGTAATGTCCTGAAAAGTCACCTTCTCCTTGTAATACATATGTCATATCTTTGTCATTATACAAATTGATGTCCTCATTTGTCACAAAAACGCACACACACACACAATATTAGGTAGTAGGTTTAGGTATTCCACGCATAAAGACAATCATACTGTCCACATTATCCAAACTCCAAAGCAGTGTATGAGTAGTAAGGTACTATGGTATTCTGAACATATCCATGGTGTTTGCACTGTACTTAATGCTCTGTAAAACTCTGTAGGAGCTAATAGTCAGGAATCATGTGTGTGTGTGTGTGTGTGTGTGTGTGTAGGAGGGTGATAGACTATGCTAAACACCAAACCACCAGCGGCTTCATTAAAGAAATGTCAATAATTTATTCTGATTCATGAAAGAGAGAAAATTATAGCAGTAGGGAGAGGATGAACCTGGTGTCAGGTCACCTTTATAGCGCAACATAAACACAAACAGTTGTGCACACTCACACACATGCAAATACATGCAAACCCACAAAGGCACTAAAGGGCATTGTTCAATCAAAATGCAATGGAGCAGAATTTATAATAATGGAGTAGCGTGCTTAAGCCTTGTAAAATAAATGAATAAATACAATAAAAACACAATATGACGATTAACCCACCAGCTGCATTAAGCAGTTAAACAGTTCTACACAATCATTACTAGTGCTTACTAAGGGTATAGTTCCTCATTGTTGTTCATACTTTTGATTCAGGGATTTCAACAAACCTGTACAAATACAATTCCAAATTTTCGACTGACAGACAATAAAATTGGATGAAAAGAAAATCTCTCACATTTACACTAACCTAAGTCATATCTAGAGACTAGCCAGTCAGACTCGAGCCAGTCAGAAACCACATACTGTAGCAAAAGAGTGCAGTCTGCCCACTTTTTTGGTTCCTGAGGTATTGAAGGATTAAAAAAAGAAAAGAAAAAACTTTCTTATTAAAGGGGTCATATGATGCGATTTCAAGTTTTGCTTTCTCTTTGGAGTGTTACAAGCTGATTGTGCATAGATAAGATCCCTGAAGTTGCAAAGACTAAAGTCTCAAAACCAAAGAGATATTCTTTATCAAAGTTAAGACTCTGCCACGCCCCCCTAAAACGCCTCGTTCTAACACGCCCCCACATATCTACCTCACTATGTGGAAATATTTGCATAATGACG